ACATTAGCCTCAGTGTCACTCTATGCCAGCTACCTCGAAACATTGGTTAATAATTTTTATACTCTCAGTCTTATGGTTAATGGGGGTATATAAAGGGTGAGATAAAAAAACTGCAACAAATTCAAACAAAGCGATTAACCTCATTTCGTAACCAATCTTGGGTGACGCGTGATGGTGCTGAGTCCTATTGGAATGTCCAAGGTCTACGGACAAAATATTTGCGTGCCCAGGGCTAATACACCCTTCAGAATATTTTCGCGATAATATTCGGTCGATTAGTACGAGCGGAAAGCGACCATCGGCTGTTAGGGCGGCCCACGCCATCACCATGGCCGTCGCTTGAGTTCTGGTGGCCAACCGAAGGAGCACATTTTCAGCTGACCTCTTTGGCAAGTAAACACGATCTTTTTCTTGGTTTACAAACTGCTGGACAACGAATGTTTTCACCTCGGAGAAAACCAAATTCGGAAGTTCACCACTTTCGCCAAGCGAAGCAATTCTTTAGCTCTTTTGAGTCTATTTTCTTTTTGTTGCTGTGTAAGTTCATGCACTTTTTGGAATTTCAATGGCTTTACCCGAGCTCATTTTTCAATATTCGTCGAATGGAATTGCAATTTTTCGGCCACTGCGACGCGAGTTTCGATCAAGTCGCTTCTTTACTTTTCGAACAATTTCTGCTGATTTTGCTGTTTTCCACTTCCCTGACGTCGGGCTACGCTGCCAGTATCACGGTAACGAGCGATGGTAAGAGACACAAAAGATTTATTCACATTTAAATGCTGGAGTGCTCTAACGATAGACACTATAAAGAAATGACACTATCGCGCTTGAATTCCATCACGAATAACTTTTTTTCTGGAGAATTCTCACCAAAATGCTTTTGTACGCTTGTAATGAGCTGTCACTGGAATAATTTTAACAGCTGTCGGACGAGTAGCTTAGTAATGACAGCAGTCTGAAGTTGGTTGCAGTTTTTTTTCATCTCAACCTGTATATAGTGGATTGGGTTTTTTGGCGAACATTTTAAGGTGTTGCCTTCGGAATGACAATTTTAATATATAATCCACCTTGTGGTGGAGTTTATAAAAATTACTTCAAGCTACTAAATAAAAGATGTGCAAGTTTGTCCGGCCTCCTACCTGTCCGTTGCCTATTTAAATAAAAATGGAGATGGCAATATATAGTTCCATATCAGGATATATTTTTTGGTACAAATCCCATATTTCGGTACCGTCTCATTTTCAATATAATTGAAATGGCTCGAAAATTTATACAAAGTAAAAAACAGCATTAAGTTCGCTTGGGTCGAACATTTTACACTCTACATGGTGTACTCAGCTATGTCCTTATAAACATTCTGTTAGGATAATTTTTTTGTCCTGTTAGAAAACAAACATGGAAAAGGGTTCAATTTTTTTACAAAAAAAAGTTTTTCAACCGAAGGGACAATTTGATATTTGATCCATAAAAATAGGCATAAATGTAACTAGCTTCCATGTCACGATGCCTTTAACATTTTTATTTCTTTTTTAACGAGTTTTCTTTTCATTCTATCTCAGAACGACAATTTACAGCGTTGTGGTCAAACTACAGAGACGACAATGATGATGAGGAAGACGATGTAGACGAAGCACGTCGACTCAAGCGACAAAAGCGTGGCTTGTTAGGCGAATCATCTATTGAATTTCCACCAGAAGCTGCCTTGATGAGTATTAATTTTCTTACGTTTGCGGTATTTTTGATCAAATTAGTTCTGGTATGTTAACAACAAAAAATTACTTAAAATATATTTTTATATGATTTAAATATTATTATCAAAAAAATAATTAAATCTATTGTTTGTATATGTATTTTCAGCAAGTGGTAAATATAATAAGAACCAAACATATTACAGTATCATCGTTCGGAATCAACAAAAATAGTTTTACCAAAGGCTAAGTTTTGGAATATTTTAAGAAAATAATATAAGTGAAAAATTAAAAAAATATCATTCAACTTTAAAAAAATGTTAAAAATAAATAAAATTTTAAATTTGAATTCATTTTTGGTTCAATTTATTTAAATATTAATCTGCCAATTACTGCTAGAAATTAATAACATGTTTATCAGGTAAGGAAGTAAAGTAAAAACCAGTAAGTAAGTAGTAAAGTGGGATGGGGCCGACTTTATCATACCCTTTACCACTTTGGGTATATTCAACAGATGAATCCTAACAGACGTCGCATTTTTAAAGGGCCAGTAAAATGAAACTGGATCCATAAACATGTCATTCTGCAACCAATACTAAATTTTTCATTTGGTCAGATATATATGCTATATCTAAATTTGAACCGATTTCAGGAAACTAAACACACATCATTCTCGACCTGATTCATTACGCTGTGCCTAATTTCGTGCAAATCGGAAGATATATAGGGACTTTGGTGGACCATTTACATTAAATCGGACGAAAATATCTTTCGGAGCTATATCTAAATCTGAACCGATTTTGTGAAACTTAACACACATCATTCTAGACCTAATTCATTACGCTGTGCCAAATTTCGTGCAAATCGAATGATATATAGGGTCTTTGGTGCACCATTTACATTTAATAGGACGAAAATATATATGAGAGCTAAATCTAAATTTAATCCGATTTTCAGGAAACTTAACACACATCATTCTATACCTAATTCATTACGCTGTGCCAAATTTCGTGCAAATCGAAAAATATATAAGGACTTTGGTGCAACATTTACATTAAATCGGACGAAATTATATATCGGAGATATATATATATATATATAACTGGACCGATTTTCAGGAAACTTAACACACATCATTCTAGAGATAATTCATTACGATATGCCAAATATATAAAAATATATATGGGAGCTGTATTTAAATCTGAACCGATTTTCACGAAACTGTACACACATCATTCTAGACCTAATACAGTGCACTATTCCAAATTTCGTACAAATCGAAAGATATGGTATTTGGTGGACCATTTACATTAAATCGGACGAAAATATATATGGGAGCTATATCTAAATCTGAACCGATTTTCAGGAAACTTAACACACATCATTCTAGACTTAATTCATTACGCTGTGCCAACTTTCGTGCAAATCGAAGGATATATAGGGACTTTGGTGCACCATTTACATTAAATCAGACGAAAATATATATGGGAGCTATATCTAAATCTGAACTTATTCCAACAAAACTTCGCATACATCAATCTGAATCTAATTCAGTAAACTGTGCTAAATTTTGTTTCAATCGGACCAATATTGGGAGTTTGGTGCATTATTTACATGGAATCGGAGGAAACTATATATTGGAGCTATATCTAAATCTGATCCGATTTCAACGAAACTTGGCATATATCAAACCAAGCCTAATTCAGAACGCTGTGCACAATTTTGTCTTAATCGAACAAATATTGGCAGTATGGTGCTCCATTTACATAAAATCGGGCGAAACTATATATGGGAGCTATACCTAAATCTGAACCGATTTTCTCCAATTTCAATAGCATTCATCAGTGGGCCAAATAAGTGACATGTGCCAAATTTCATCCAAATCCTATCATAAATGCGACCTGCAATATGTTTACAAAAATGCTTAACCGAATTGAAACTATATTAGGTGATGGAAAATATATCTAAATCCGAACCGATCTACATAAACCATAACTTTTTTACACAATTCGCTAACTATCGGACAGTCGTACTGTTTTTGGTGTACTCTTTACCTTAAATCGTATGATATCATATATGTGTTTAGGGCTTAACAGATGCTCAACAATTTCAAAATTGTTCCGTGTTGGACTAATTATGTATATCTCAATTCGACGCTTCCGAACCATAGTATTCTAAGTCTGAAAAGTGAGTTTTTCAGTAGAAGCTTTCAAAGTATGGAAGTTTCTTTAATCGTACGTGCCATGCTAAGTACATTTTTGCTTATAACTTTGGTTTGGATTGGCCGATGATTACTAAAATTTCAGTGAATTTAAATTAAGGACCGTAGTATCTAAAAAACGTAAAGAACTTTCGGAGACGTCGAATTGTATATTTCCTTTCCTATGGCGCAAAAGCCAACTTCAGAATAACAAATCTTAGAAGTTTGCTGTACCATTTATTTCAAATCCGACGAAGTTATTTATATAAGTGAGTCGATTTCAATCAAACTTAACATACTTACATTATTCTAGACTCATTTCAGTACATTGTGCAAATTTTCGTGCCAATGGGGCAAGCGTAGGGTCTTTATATATATATATATAATTCTGAACCGATTTCAACATAACTTCGGTCAGATCATATATTCACATACACTATCTTTGAAAACGCACAAAATACTACATTTTGTTTATATGTCAAATACCTTAAAAACATTTATTCCAATCACAATTAAAAATTGTTTCTCAATTTTGTAAATTATTATTGCAAGAAATATGTTTCCACATATACTAAAGGTAAGTTATCGCATTGGACGCCAAGTAAACAATTCAATGGACATCATGAAGATCTCTTCCATTACCGATTATTTTTATTACAATGTTTTTACTTCTAGCCTCTAATTCAATCTGCTTTCAAACGACCCATGCTGATGCAGTCCCAACGTTTCAAATTAACATTGCAACCCAAAATGATCCGCTTACAACAAAAATTCCAAGAAAAAAATAATATACCAATACATCTGAAGGGAGGAGCAAAAGACAAACTTTTATATCTAACAACAATGGGTTTGACAGGATGTGGCCTGGTCTATACGTTGGTATTTTTGGCAGGATATATAATATTTGATTGAATAACATTTGGGTTTCATTTATTATTTAGAAAATATTAAGTCTTTTGTTTATTATTTGTAACATGTTTTTTTTGTAATTTGCTTAACAAATGCATTAAATATTTGGACACACACAGAGAATTAGAAAAAAATAACTAATTAAAAATATTTGTTAAAAATTTAACTTACTAGTAGTACAACCCTCCCATATTTCATTCGTACTAGCTTTGCGTTTGTCCATCAATTTTGTCGATAACACTCTTTAGGCAATCCTTAGTGGATACCTTTTCTAAATTGCACATTTTCGTTAAATCCATAGTGGAAATTTGTTCAATCATTTCTTTGATACGTTCCTGTTTAATGATCGCCTTTACCGATTGTTTGGTAGAGACGACTTTCTCTGTTTTGATGGTTGGTTTTTCTTGAGAATCATTTTCAATGTGTTTACCCTTCGAACGGAAATGTTGTTCAATGAGACGTCGTATTTTTAATTTCGTAGCTTTCGTTTTACGATTTACTTGGCCCATAGCTAAATTCCGTAATTCATCGAAATTAATTTCTTTTTGTGGTGTTTCAGCGGTTTCTTTGGAATTGTAGAGATCTTGTTCTTCATAGGACTCAACGGTTGATACGATTGCATCATTATCATCTTCTAAACTAACTGGTGAGGAGAGTAATGAACTTAGTTCGGGATCTAAGTTAGATGGAGGTTGTGCTAGTTCCTCATCATTTTGATTGTCTTCTGTTGTTTCTTCATATTTATTTATTTCTTCATTACTCAACCTATTGTCTTTTTCTTCGGTTTCTTTGTCTACATCATCATCATCTATGTCATTAGTTTTCTTTAATTCCTCGAAGGAATCATTTTTCTTTATTTCCTCTGTGGAAATATTTTCCTTTGTTTCTTTGTTGGAAACATTTTCCTTTACTCGTTTATACGATTTCCTCACTTTCTTCATTGGTTCTTGTGATGTATTATCAGGTATTTCCTGTGAAACTATTGCCTTCTCTTCATGTTCTATATTTTCCACATTGTCCGATTTTAGGTCATCACTTTGCTCCACATTCTCCTTTATTTCTGTTTGAGGTTTCTTCTTTTTCTTTTTCTCCTTTTGTTTTTGTTCAACATCTTCCTTTTCCAAAACCTTTAACGTTTCCTCCTCGACTTCTTGAGGTTCCCTTGGAGCTTCCTTAGTAACTTCTTTGGCCTTTTTAGTTTTCTTTGTGGGCTTTTCTAAGCTCTCCTCAACAATCTCCTCATTTACAGACTTCTTTTTCCTCTTTTTACTTTCTTTCTTGCTTACACTTGGCTCCTTGCCTGGTTTCTTCTTCAATATAGCCAAACATGCCTTGGTTTTTATTTTAATTGGCATAATCGAATTATATTGTATACCAATATTATTGAAACAATCCACAAATTCCACAGTATCAAAATCTTCCTGAAGCGATGACCATAATTGATTGTTGAATTTATTTTTAGCTTCCACAATTAAGTGGGTGTACTCCAAGGACTCTTCTTTGGTATAATTCATTTGCTCCTTTTTGCAGTAACTGCAATTATAATAATGAGAACACATTAATATTTAATTTTGCTCATTTTAAATGTTTTGCCATACTTCCAATTATCGTGTAATTGTAAAAATCTCGATACTCCACTTTGTGCGGCCAAATTAGAGATGTGCACCGAAACATTTGAGGATCCAGCCTCAAGTGTATGTAGGCGTGTTATAGCCACTCCACCAGGATAATTAGTACCGGATACAATTAGTAGGAATAATGTCACACAAACATTCAATAGTAAATGTCCTCCAGCACATAGGGACAAGAATCCATGCCACAATGATTTGCCACTATTCGACCAACTAGAAATAAAATGGAGGATTATTACAGAGTTAAATATGTAAAGTAGACCAGGAATTATTAACTATCCAAAAAGGTTTAAACTCCAGTGGATAAATATATTATCAAACAGTATGACTTCGTTGACCTATTGGAGGCTCAAAAGCCAGACGACTTACAAAAAAATCTCGGTCACGTCTCATGAGTAAACGTATGATTTTCCTCTCCTCATGAAGTTGGTCAATTGGTATTATGGGAAGACATTCGCAAATCAGGTCAGGAGGTCATAAAATATATTGTTCAGCACTACAGATGCTGTCAATCATCTCTTGAAAATGTTCGATTGGTATCCTGAGGAGATATTCGCAAATCAGGTCAGGAGGTCATGCACTTCAAATGCAGCCAACGAGTGAATTGAGAGGGTTATGTTCCTATTTCTCATCTTTTCGCAAATACCTCCAAATAATTGGAGATTGAAATTAGTTTACCTATCCCTCCACCACTCTGGTTGGCTCCTGTGTTGCTTATATAGGCGTACTCCGAGGAATATATTCAGCCTGTATTCTCGAATTGCTTCCTCTGAATCTTTGTGAATACAATTCAATCATATTTGAGGCTCCCTTTTTTGTATCTTGTTTTGTTGATGTGCCTGAAGCATCATCGTCTCCTCATGTAAGTGGCCTATTGGAGTCACGAGAAGATACCATGTTTTTTCCATTGCATTTCAATTACGTTTCCGGACCACATTGAAGAGAGGATGTAAACAAGTTGTCTTTATTAGTTCCAAAAATACTGCCGGCCAGAGTCTTGAGAACCTTGGTCATGCTTTTGACCTTATCGGAAATTCCTGTTACATGGGCGAACGACTTATATAGGCTACTGAATGTAATTCCCCAGAAACTGGGGATAAATAGATGTTCGAGAGTGGCTTAATGCATAGATTCAAGTGGTCCAGACACTTTTTCGCATATAAGCCTGTTCACTTCCACAGAAGTTTGGTCAAACTTTCGATATTCATTCTGCTCCCTAGGATCTGAGGGGAAGCTCTCTGAAGCGGTAATTAAAAAACTCTCTGAAACCTTGTCAATCACTTTCCCAATGCTTCGGAAAAGTACAGCGTTCCAATGTTTTAACGCAGACGATGATGCCGAGGTGTTCAGAACCGAGGAAAATAAGCGATTGAGAGAATACATCATTTATCAAACCTGGTGCCAATATGGCGATGTATGACAAGCAGTGGCAATCTCCCCTTCTTGTGTGCCCTACATTCACCGTGCCAAATATTAAGCTATTAATGTGTTCTGCGAAAGCTGCAGCCTTCTTGTCATTAACAAGGACGAAATCCCACAACTCATGGTGGACATTGCAATCTTCTGATAAGTGCATAAATTTCGAACCTGAAGACATCTAGGATATACATGATTTCTTTACTAAAAAGAAGAAGACATCAAGAATTTCCCAATGACGATCCGCTAAAAGACTGTCGTCGAACTGTGGCGGTAAATGGCCGTAAATTAGAAGGTATAGGAATTTTTCATTTTGGAAAGAATTTTAAAAGAGAAGTACATATATTCCGAATCCTAATCAAATATGTAGGGTAAATCTGATGTGTTTTACTGGACAGAGTGGTGCAATAAGAATGTAAATCCCCCTAAACAGCTGTCCTCATATGTTATTTTGATCTTCTTTTTTGTATTTTTACTTAGTTTCTTGGAATTTCTTATCAGCGTCCTAGAAATTTTATCTGAAGCAATTGTTACGAAATTTATGAGTCTTTCCCAATGTGCTTCTCCCGTTAGTGGTCTATTGATGGAGAATTTCCCCCTTTCGATTGTTTCAAAATTAAATGAGAAGAATAATTCATACATAAACAATTATTAAAATAAATGTATACTTACATACGATGGCAAGCTGTGGCGGCTGCTAAATTCAATACAGGAAATACATAAATTATAAAACGCAGCTCCTTATGAGGTAGTATGGAGTAAATTACAACAAAGCCAATAGTAGCCAAAACAATCGGTCGGACTCTTCTCTCCAAAACGAAGCCAATTGGTACAAATAATAATGATGTAGCCATAGCTCTTGGCAAAGCTGAATAAAAATACCATAAAAATGGTGAAGTCTAATGGATAATGCAGGTTAAAGAAACCATAAACAATTGTGTAGTATATAAGCATAAATATCAGTAATAATAACTGAAAAACTAAAAACTAACTAAAATATATGTCAAGTAGTTATCC